CTTAAATCTCGCTCGGCTCTAGCCCTATCCGCCTCCCCCCTTATGGTAAAACCTATCTTGGTGTCGTCGGCAAATTTACTTATCTTACCCTCTACGCCGAGATCCAAATCGTTTATGTAGACCAACAACAGAAGCGGTCCAAGGACCGAGCCTTGAGGGACACCGCTTGCGACTCCGACCTCCTTCGACGCTTCCCCATTTATCATCACTCGTTGCTCTCTTCCTGTCAACCAGCTACCGATCCACTCGCTCGTCCTACCCTGGATCCCGTGCGCCACCAGTTTAACCCGCAACCTCTCGTGAGGAACGGCATCGAAAGCCTTCGCGAAATCTAAATAGACGATGTCCAAGGGATTCCCCTCATCCCTCTCTTCCGTCGCCCAGTCGTAGAATTCGAGCAAATCGGTGATATAAATTTCGACGCCTTCTAAAGCCGTGTTGACAGTCCCGAATGAGCGCGTTTCCTTCGAGGAAATCCAAGAGATGTTTCCTTAGTATACTCTCCATGATCTTCCCTGGGATACTCGTGAGACTTACCGGCCTATAATTTCCTGGATTACTGTACAGCTGTAGATTAGCTATGGGAAGTTTCTGCCATTTATCTCGAATTGCATATTTTGCACAGACACCCTTTTCCCAGAGAACTAAACCAATTGAGCACTTCACATTCCGAAGTACATGTTCACTTGCTTGAATTTACCATGAGATTTTATACATGAGGAAACATGCTTCACAAGATTCTACTTCACTCGGAAGTGACCAGAAGGTGTGCGGCACCGGGATTGTTCAGAAAACTTTGTCCTGCAATTAAGTTTATTATTTTTCCCCCAGGATATTTTTTGTCTGCAGATCAGAAAAGTCCCAGCTAGGCAGCATATGCTAAGTCCGGATATGAACACATGCCTTCGTACACGTGTCCATATCCGGACGTACATATTCGGACCAATCACATCACCGCGGCTTCCCTCGTGACTGAAAAAAAATTCTCGTTGGCACTGATTGACACGCGTTCACGTGACTAGACGGTAATGTACACTTTCTCATTGTTCTGTGATGGCACGCTCACACTTCAACTCCGCTACCTCTAGTGACGACATCGACGAGGTACTGAAGTCCCTGCAACAGCGGAAGACCAGGAATTTTCCGAGGACTCACCAGTCAGTAATGCCCAGAAGCGAGAGGTTGGCCGGGAGCTGAACCATTCCCTGGCATTGGAGTTGGCTTCCCGTCACCGTGCAGCCGTTTCTCAGCCCGGAATCCTCCACCTCGAGCTGACTCGAGGTCTGGTTCGTGCTCGCTTTCGCATTCGGAAGGAACCAAAGGAATATCATAAGCATCATCTGCTCATTCATTGTCTGCCCGTAAACAGCACCGTCCTGCAGATGGAAGAAAACTTTTTTTTAACACTTAAGGGATGCATTTCTGATTGCATTGAAATCTAATTTTACAGGGAGAGGGGGTAAAAACATCCATGAATTGATTCTCACTAATACACTATGGGACCTCAATCGCATGTCGCTTAACGCAGCACCTCGCATTAACCACCCACAAAAAAAAGGATTCCACTTAATATAGTGACAAGATTTATGAGACTCCTCTGTTACTCCTCAATATTTAAAATGGAATAGAGGAGAATGGGTTACGATTCATACTATGCAAACAGGGGTGGCTTATTCTGCCTCTGGATATTTTAAAATAACTCTTCTCTGATTTCAAAGACAGTATTTTATCATCCAGGCATATGCATAAGAATAAAACCGAGTTTCAGACCCGCAACATCCGAAATTTCACAGTGAGCTTCATGAAGGCGAGAGAGAGAGGGAGAGAGAGATCATTAAATTTTCCACGTTAGTTCTCTCTTTGTGATGGTATGCGTATGGTGACAGTGATTGCGTTAAGGGGTAGGTTTTGACATCATATCCTCGTTCGGTATTTCATTGAAAAAGACTAGGATGACATTTTCACTTCAAAAGGAACTAAACGGAAGCCCTAAAATGAGTAAATCAATGAAGTTCAGTTGTCCCTCTGAAAGATAAGTGAGAGAAGGCTGAGGGAAAAACTTTTTATTTCAAGTTTCTTTTTTGTTTGTTTTTTTTTGTTGCGTCACTGACGCTATTCCTTTGGAATTCTTATTGAAACTGCAGCAATAACGTGTAATGATGAGATCTTTAAGTGTCCTGAACTCTTTCGAACGCATGCAGATAGCTCAAGAAGGATACTTCCTGAAATAGACGAATTAAGTAAAATTTGATTCGGGTATGATGCAAAATTTCCGAGCCTGTGAGGGCCATCGTCCGCGATCAAATATCTCCTGAAATTCCCCAAAGATCACAATCACGACTTTCTTCGACTTATCATCTTGAAATCGATCGCAAGACGACCGGTACGGTATCAATTCGATGGGAAATCACGCCAGAATATAATACACCGATTCGTTCCTGATCTCGCCGAGGGCGACGGAAAAAACGGACCTGTGACTCACATGACCGCGAAGTTCCCGAATGTGCAAGGAAGAGGATCGCGGTGGGATTGGGGGTCGAGCCGAGCCCGAAAGGGACTTTAAACCTTCCTTATTCCCACCCCTCCCCCTCGCCCTCGCCCTCGCCCTCGCCCTCCCCCTGCCGCGCAGGCGGTCTCGCTCTGATGGCTTTCTTCCAGACTCACCTGGACTTTTATTTACTTTTTGCTTCTTTTCGTATTTCTGTATTCGCTTTTGTTTATTTGTTTCTTTTCCCCGGCAAGGGGAAGAGTGGGGGTTGTGACACTTCCATGAATACGATCCTCCTCGTCTATGGATACAAGTCATCGTTGGGGGTTGTTGCCAGATTTATAGTGCGCGGGTTGTGTCCTTTACCCTAAACGAGGTTTTAATGACTCGGGGAGAAACTCTTTCCAGCGCAAAACCCCCTTTCGACGAGGTACGACAGATCCTCCAGGAGAATCTTGGCTTCTGAACCGTAAGCCGTTACATTGTAACCTGTTAGCAATCCGGTGACAGATGAAGCCTGTCTCACGATGGAGTCGGTCTATGACACAGGCTCAATGACTCCATCCTGCACCGGCCTGAAATACGGAGGTCGCCTCCTCGCATTATGCATCGTCACGTCCGCTTCTTCATCAGCTGGAAATAGTAGATCATTGCCAAGGTCGTGACTCCCAGGTCAAAATAAGCTCCCTAATCAATTCTATCACCTTTGCCCTGTGTTTCTAAGTCGATAGATAATCCTTACATCCATACAGTTTTTAGTTAATCGTATCGACTTATGGCATCGTTGATGCTTCGGTAACAACCCCAACAGGCTGACTCTCGACGCAACGGCGATTTAAAGGTATTAGATTAGGGTCACTGCTCATCTATTAAAAATCTCTCTCTATCCAATGCCGAGGTAAAAAATGCCCACTTCGTTTTCGAGCTCGGGGAAATCATTTGTCGAAGTCTCTCCGTTGCCCGAGACTAGCATTGCCCCGAATGAATTGTGATGATCGAACCAAATCCGTGGCGTGAGAGAAGGCGCACGTGCATCCGATGGTGTCTCTCCCAAGTCGATAATCCCGAATGAAACCGTGAACTAATTTACAATCCAAACTATGGGATTGCATCTTGCGTGCTTCAAACAATGCAGCACTTTGCCCTCTTAGGCCGAGTTTACACTTTGTGGTATTACTGAGTGCTCGCATGGATGTTACGTGCGGAGATGATCACACACGACCACAGCCCGTGAGAGACCTTCCACGGAGTTGCACGCAGTGCCCGTGTCTAAGAGGGGGGGGGGGGGGGCCCCTGCCTGGGGGGAGGTGGGGGGGGGGGGTGGGGGGGGTGGGGGGGGGGGGGGGGGGGCACATGACCTCCAAAAAAAAAATTATTTGGGAGGGGGACAGGATTGAATGAGTTGCGCTTCGAATTACATCCGGTTATAGTCTTACTTCTTCCGTGTCACAGCCCGTAGGGCTGTACCGATATTAAAATTAGGCCGATACGCCGATTTCTGATACTTGTTCTTGAAAGTTACCCGATAGCTATACCGATACCGATATTCCATCCAATCCTACAAGAACGCAAAGACCTTGGCTAGGAAAAGGCCATATGGAGCTCGTATGATAGGCCAAGAGTAACCTACACAATTCTACGCACGGGAAGCTAGCAGGCCTAAGCCTGCTAATTTACCATTTAGATTAACATTATGCCTTAGTGCATTTGATGGAAGACGGCTTATTTAAGATTTACGCGTTTGTACATGAACAATTCATTGGGGGAATGGCTTCTTAGGGGAATGAATGGGAATGCAGCTACCTCTCTCACGTGCTCCTTCGTCCTCTGCCATTTAGAGGGGGAAGAGTTTTCGCTCCTGACGGTGCCTCGCTTCTGGGCTTTCAAGTTTCGAGTTCCATTCACCGGAATGAATGCGGATCGCATTTGTCGCTGGCTGGGAGTTCACCGGCCGGCTACAAAATGCCGGGAAATTGGAGTAGGGGGAAGAGATACGATGCGTACAAAAACAAAATAAAATATTTACAGGTTAAATACATTATTTAAATTTAAAAAAAAACGGAAAACCCGTCGGTTTCATGAAAAACGCCTGAATTGGCCAATGTTCGGTCTCCAATATGAGGATCGGTACAACTCCATTAATTAGACTAGTCGTTTTATCGGAAATGAAGAGATCCCTTACGGGAACTCCATTTTCAGGTTTCATGCGGATTATCAAATATGGCCATACAGGAGTGCTTAGTTCGGAATGCATATGGTACAAATTAAAATTATATATGGGAGACTGTATTTGGAAGCCGTCCAGTCATATCATGTTTTGGCTATTCTTAATGAATATGGAACTTTTCGGTGGTTCATAAATAAGCTCCTTACATGATACTTAATTGCAATGTATATGACACATATACAAATTTTACATGGGAACTATTTTGGAAATATTCAATCAATATAATGTTCTGACAATAATTAATATAGTAGATATATGTCAGCATATATGTTACCGTTATGTACAGGTCCTTTAAACGGCTCTTAGTTCGCAATATAGAAGGCCCATTATACATTAGTAATGGAAGATTGAGACTGAAGCTCAGAGACAGATTCACTCAATTCCGGATTTTCGATGCTGTTTTTGCGACTCACCTCACAAGGGGAACCCCACTCCCTCCATGCAAAGAGCAAGAATTGCCTGAAGTCTCCTTGAGCTAGGTTACGTCTCTCAACATATCCATTGATTATAACGACTTCCTTCCATCGGTATGTACGTGGGAAATTGTCGAGTTCAGGATGAAAGCTTCTGCAGAACCATTCATTAGCATTTGGGGAATCGGGAGACATACAGCGGTGGGATGAGCGCAATCTCGCTTATATTGTGAGAACGTTATACTTATTGAATGAACTGCTAGATGTCAGGCTATATAGAAGGCCTCAATGTGCGTGAGCGTCCGTTCATGGACATTACATGGACTGGACAGTGTCCAAATATATTCCAAATACAGTATTTTTTGCGCATAATTTATATTAGTGTCATATAAATTGCAAACCCAGCACCATATATGGGGGTCTGTATATGAACCTTACATCGTTCCATATTTATTAAGAATGGCCAAAACACGATACGAACTGAACTGTTTCCAAACATGGCTAAATTCTGTACTGTACAATCATATACAGTACATACGCCTGTATTTGGAAGTTCCGTGAGTGGAGTTATTCATATCAATGAAGCATTGAACAGGCTTCGATTTAATGAATCATATGCAAGCACTGTGCAGTTCCATATTTCAGGGATCCCCTTGCAAAGGGGGGTTAATTCCTATTCCGTTTAATTCCTACACTGTTCCTTGTAAGTATTCGCTCAGATTATGGTTGCCCATGGGGATGATCCCGCGAGGGAGTAACTTTCATTCGTGTGCACCTTAAGGTACAGCGGAGAATGAAATCTCTCAGATCTCCGGAGTGAATTATCCGGAGTTGTTACGAAGGGATTTGAAGGGGGACTTTAGACCCTAGGCTGGGCCAATGGTTTCTGCAGGAAAATTTTAGTAATTGCATACTTTAAACCTAAATTTCAATCGAATTTAAATTTTAAAAATCGCGTATGGACGTTCTTGCATACGGAGAAAACCGTGATCTATTCGAGTAGTAGAATTCCGAGACATCAGAGTTTTTCATCGGACTTAAAAAAAATTGAAGGCGCGATAAAACATTGATCTTCGATGCCTAATGCGTTAGCGGAATCGAGTTGTCAGCATGGCAAAAATCCTGCAAGGAGACGATGAAAAGAAATCAGCTCCGGGGCGAAATGGTTTCCTCGAATTCTCTTCCTCCGAAAGGAAGAGATGAGTGTCGAAGGGGTGCACCCTTTGAGGTCCAAATACGTTTTCAGATATGTTTTATATTTATGATATACACCTCATTCTAAGTTTTAAATAAATCTGCTGAATCATTAAAAAAATTAGATAATGTACTCGAATGTGGACAGCAGTCCTCGAAGATTATACACTAATACCTATAATAATCATAAGATAGAATAATTTTAAATAAATACTA